TTTTTTTTTTTTTTATCCGTTTTTCAATGGTTTTTTTCTTCTATTTCTATTTAATGTCCAATCAGTCCCGTCTAGAGATATAATTCTACTGTATTCTCTAATAATTCGCTAAAGCGAGATTTAATTCGCCTGTATCCTTTGTTAATTCGCTAAAACGATAACAGTAATGAAAGGAAACGATAGATTGGTATTAGAAGCTGTATTAAATTCACAGTAGATAGATTTAAAGATGTCTTCGACAAACTTGGGGTTTAACCATTGATGTAAAGCAGAACGGGCTAAAATGATTCAAACTTTATATACATATGATTGCGTGTATACGTGAAGTTCGGAATTTCAGCTTTGAATAACCAGTCCTGCAAGAGGATGGCACTATTTTACTTTGAACGATTAGGGTAAAAAAAAACATGTTTGAAATAGTAACTTTCCCTCATCCTTTTTCTTTTTCTTTTTGATTACTAGGGTTCTCTTCATCATGTGTTTTATTTCCTATTCCTTTTCCTTTTTTTGTTTTCCTTCCCACTTTTTCTTATCATTTGACGTCAAAAACAATCCTTGTTCTTCCTTTGTATAATTGTTTCGTATCATGCCTCTCCTTGTGCGTGATGGAAGATTTAGCCAATTCCCATGACTATTTCACATTTCTCGTTGCAAATACTCAATGAAATCAAATCTTTACCAGCAATACTACCAGTCACTAAATTTCTTCTTTTGATTTTTGACCTCTTTCTCCATTCTTTTCTTTCTTTTACCATCCACCCTTCACAACCTTCCTTTTTCAAACGAAAAATTAAAAAAAAACTCAAGACATTAACATTATTTTTAGGCCATTACTTCCTCAGAAGAATGTCTGACGAATGAAAAGAAGTACCTGTGTAGCAATAAATTCGAGAGGAAAGAACTGGTCATAACAAATAAAAAAAATATCAATCAAACTTGTATTTCCAACCTCATCCAGTCTTCTAGCATAGCTGACCAAGCTGATATACAGGTGGAAAAAAGTAAACTGAAAATGAGGGGTTTATCCATTAACTTTTGGCATGGCATACTTTTCTAGCTTCCATCGTCAAAAGTCAGACATGGAAAATCCAATAAACAAGAAAAGAAGGACTGAATCAGGGTTTTTGTCAAGTAGAGTTCGGTTGCGTTCTTTCACATTCTTGTTGGTATCATTGGTCGCAGTATGCAGTTTTCCGTCCATCCATTAGGATAATGCCAAAAGCCAGAAATTTAGCCTGGAAATTGAATTCTTCTGTGACTGTGGAAATGTTTGGAAATTTCTTTTTCGTATTTTACTCCCATATAAAAGTGTAGTTCCAGAAACGTTGAAAAAGGGAGAGAACAATCACTACTTCGATGCCAAAGGAACCAAATGTTAACGATAAATCAGTATTGTTGATGATAAAAAGTATAGTGGAAGAAAAAGCTTTATTTCCCAAGGAAAGTAAGCAGTAAAGGCAAGGCAGCAGTCAGCAATAAAAAAGCGTTTTCAGAACGACTGTGTACACCAAACGGTTTTGCTGTACCCCTCACGCATTTTGATCCGAATGGCCCAGTTCAGGTCCCGCGTGGAATAACAATTAATAAACGGCAGCCCATAATCTAACAGACTATATTATCCAAAGGAAATGCTTGTGTCCACAGCATAACTGAAGTGAAGAAAAACGAGCGAGGAAGAGGAATGACTGAAACTAACAAGAGATCGAAGATTAGAACTTCTGGTGGTTTTTTTTGGCAAACTGCCATAATATTGATTATTGATGTAAAAGAAACTTTTTTTAAGGCGCTCACATTGGGCAGATAGGCACGGACGGTTGTCAGTCAGTAGCAGCAACAGCATCACCATCAGCAGTAGTAAAAGCAGTGGTATTTCTCCTCCAAGCTGGTAGCATTGTTGCTTTTGTCCTATTAACTGAACTAGGGAATTCAGTACTCAAAATGTTGACTTCTCCCACATCAGTAAACGTAGGTTTAATTCCTTTCCGTTTTTTATCTCTTTGTCAATTTGCCCAAAACGTTAGGCGTTTGGGGAGCAAATGAAGACTTTTTTACCGGAAGTTTACTTCGACCAACTTTCAGTAGACATGTGTTATGAGCGACCGCCAAAATCGATACTGACTCCAGATTTAAGTCTAAAAATTTCTTTGTTGTCAGTTTCCGTACTGTTGATTCTTTGCGCACTGTGCCGTGTAAGGTTATACCAGTGGATAAGGACCGGGAAGAAAAGTAAGTAAGCTGTTGAAGCCCAAGTATTGAGTTTTCGCTGGTGATAGGTTTTAGTGTTTTCTTATTTCTCTTACAAATTTTTCTCCATGCCTTTGCTTTTTCGTGCACCCACCACTAGGAACCCGTTTTTACTGTTAACTTAACTTTACTTGAAGTTCTCAGCGCGGTCTGGTTTATCATTAGCAATTTCAGATCTGAGTAAGCGCTTAGAGTTAGGTTTTTAACAGTCCATTGCTTAAGTTTTGTCTTAATTTCGATGGGAATTCAGAACACTGCCTCTTTGGTGGGATGTGATGTAATAGGTAGCAAACACTTTCTGGTTTTAGTATTAGGAACCTGGAGACCTAACAGTCACTTTCCACGCATATTTTTCATTCGCAGTTTCCTTCGTGACGTTCTGGTCTACTCAAAGACATCAGTTTAATAAAAGCGTCCTAGCCGTGTACGTAAGAGTTATCGATCCACCGTATGATGTGTCCAAAGAAGTTTTTGAGAAAGGCTTTCCAAAGCGCAAACGCGGACACATGTTCTGAAAAGACCTTCACTGTGGTTTTGTACTGCTTTTTTTATTTCAGTTAGCTGCTTTAGAGCAACTGGCAATTGTGAAAAATACTCCAAACGAAGGTTTTAAAATCACTTTAGGATGGAGATTTTTGCTTATTTTTGCTAAAATGCCTGCATTATCAAAACGATTTACCTATAAGCATTGTTACAATAGCAGGAATATTTGCAAGAGAACAAAGGTAGCCCCAGATGAGACTAAACCCATTGTCTTTCAGTTACAAAACGGGATGACTCTTTGTGACGTTGCTTTTGCGACAGTTTGACCTGTTAGACGCCATAAAAATCAAAGAGAAACTTAGGCACTGAAGCTTTAGAAAGGTAATCAGATATAGTTGGACAGATCGTAAAGCTGCCGCTGGTAAATCACGCTGTAGGTGGTTCATATAGAAAAAATCACTTGGGTTTACCGTAAAAAACCTTAAGGGGTGGGGACATGAGCGCAATAGTACCTTTTCTTTTAGTTCTCTCTGCAGCATTGGAAATTGAATGTCAATTGTGTTATATGTGTAATATTTCACTTATAATCAGGTATATATTACTGTTTTTTCTTTTCCATTATGCGCACTTTTATGTCCATCATTCTCTTAGTTTCCTTACTGTTTCAGGAATAATCTGTTACTTTTAGGGAGGTCTCGTGGTTCGACTTCATCTTCAAATTCTGGTAACTCTTATGAATGCGAGATTGTGCAGCTGACGGTAATAGCATATGACATACTTATTTGGGGTTTTTTTTGTCTTGGCAATTGTATGAGTTTAATTTTAGCAGAACTCTTTCTGTAAGGAAGACGGTAGGCGTGGCGCCAGAGTATTTACCGTACAAGGTCGTCATCTTGGTTCCATAGTCATATTGGGGAGCCCTGACAAAAAAGTAGCACAGTCGATGGAGTTACCACCATCATACCAGGAGGCGAGACTTTTCACTTTGTTTTCCGGTCACTTTCTTAAATGATGGTACAATTCCGCTTTATACTGGAATAGCACATGCTGATTTTGAGAAATGTTTTTAAAAGTCAGATTTAAGCGGATGATAAGTTGCGGAGATCGTAGAAATGCTCTGCCGAAACGCTTTCTGGCTTTATTTACGAGCATTCAAATGCAGTGCGGCTTATTTTTGAATGTTTTTGCGTGTAAGGCAGTCCCACATTACAGTTCTGATATGTCTTTATTTAGGCCGCTTTAACTCAAATGCAACCTCCTCCGCCGTACTCGGAGTACAGTAGTCTTCCAACAACGAGTAATTTATTTCCGGTTTAGGCGGAAGTTGGTGTAAGATAAGCTTTTTTGGAACTGGAACCTTGCCTAAATGATTGTACGGGACTGCACAAGTAGCGCATTTGGTGTAGAAGCTTTAGTATTCTATTTTTTGTCGTAGAGAGTAGGTTTTCTGCATTGGCATTCAACCTTTTTTATCCCGTTTCGGTAGCGTCATTTAAGAGAGTACAAATATCACGCCACCAAGTCATTACAGGTTTGTTGGCCGTTTAATTTATATCTTTTATTTTGCAGAGGTCGTTATGCTTGTTTTTGTGTACATATGCAAGCTTAATGTATTTTTTTGCTGTGTATATATGATTACTTTTATACGCCTTGTTTAGAATGAAGCACTGAAACTAGTGCAGTTCCCAGATTTTGTACCAAAGGTTTTTGGAAGGCATTTTTCTGAGATCTTCAAGGTTCACTTCATAATTTTTTAATAATAAGCATTGATAAGGTCATTGTCAAATTCCAAGATGCTTCATTTTTGGGGGGGTTGAGTCCCTGGTGACTTAGTTATCGCAGTTGGGGAGGTTCATGATCTTATTTATTTGTATAGTTCCGTTACCATATGTTCTTCTGTACAGTTACATTTGTACCTTTCATGTCTCGGTCTGGATTTGTCCACTGGATCATTTACTTTAGAACTACCCTTTTTGCTCTTCCACTAGCAATACTTTGAAGTAGATTTACAGTCTTACTTCTTTATCATGTCAAAAAGATTGTAAATAATGGCAAGAGGATATAAAGCTTGAACCCCATAAAAAGTTTTTACTAGTTCTTGTTCGTATCACAAAAAACTACACTGTAAGGCGATGAAGACTCTTCCGTGTTACCGTGCTAGATAGCTGCTTGCTCCTTCCACCTATACATCAATTCTTTTAATGCATCAGCACTACTTCGATGCCGTTGTCGGAAGTGCAGCTAACGGACTGGAAAGCAGAATAATACCAAGAGTTCCGCTCTAAACGACCATCAAGGCTAGGTAAATTTTTGAGTACTATTGGCGCTGCGAAATATGGGATCATTAATGTGCCGGGGAGAAAATGTTACAGTTCACGATCGGAACATAACTCCAGGAACTAGGAAATTATTTGAAAGTGGCAAATGCTGTCGCAATGCATTTCCGGCTGTCAAGATGAGCAATGGTAGCAGGATCAAGTGTCATGGACTTTAGGCCTGAATCTAATTTAAAGAGATTTTACTTTTCAAATAAGCGACGACAAAACGATTTAGAAGCGTATATGGGGTTTTTTGGACGAAGACCGACTGGCGAGGTTGTTTCTAAAATCTGCCCACGACGCAACTGTTCTTCTCGGCTAGCCATCTTCACCTCCCAGTAATTTTCCGGAGTAGTTGGAGCAGCTTCTACGTGACGATGCCGACTTACCTGCAAAGAATGATGCAGGAATGATCTCGTTAGAATAGACTTAAAAAAAAAAAAAACCACTCTTCCTTAGTTCTCTCCTTTGTTAAAAAAAGTAAGCTCGCTTCTATCTTGTTCCAACGGTAAAAAGATGGAATAAATCAATGCAGATACAAAACTTCGACATACTGTTGAAAAAGCAAACTGTAGGGCTTTACGAAGATATCACCTGATCAATTCTCTTTCTCTTCTCGGGGGAGCTAAGTCCAAGAGCATCATAATACATAGAACAGCACTTGCATGCATGCCCAAACAGAAGCTTCCGCTCCTCCTTCTTTCGGACTACTCGTACATCCTCCAAATCATTTGCGTCGCATACCCGTACTCTATTATACTCATTCAAAAAGCTTGGTGACCGTAAAATTTTAGAAATTTCTCGAAGATGTCCAGACGGCGGAGTTGAGTGAGACCTAGCTAATGACGGAAAACGACGTTCCCTTGGTGGAGGTGGGGGAGTACTTTCTAACGTCGTATCCAAATCTTGGCCGACATCTGTGTCACTGTTTAATTTGTTCATGGCATTTTCATCTTCATCCCAATCTGCTGTACTGACGCCACCACTTGAACATAAATTCACATTTGAAGTCGATGAAGCGCCCGATACAGCATCGGATGGCACGGGTGCAGATTCATTTCTTGAACGCCAATATTCTGTCAGTGGTCTTATTCTCATCAATCAGCGACTGAAAAATAAAAAGTGTCATAAGCAAATCGAATTTGCCAGAAATTTCAATAAAAAAGAAACAAAAAATGCGCCATCATAAACAGGGTATTTAGCAGTACAACGTAAACAAACAAAGACGCTCGTATTTGTCTAG